TTACCACTAACTACTGCACCATGTATCTCTCCAAAAAATGGAGCAACAAGAGAATAATAAAAAAAGAATATCTACCTTCCTAACTACAGTGCAATTATCACACACAAGAAATTAAATTTTGATACAATAATGTTATCTAATTTGGAATCAATGTTCAAGTTTCTTAATTATCCCTATAATAACATCCTTCATTGCTACTTACTTTTTTCAATCCAGGAGCCAATGAAGGATCAGGCATTTCATTTGATTGTCACACCTCTCTAGCCTACTTTAACCTACAGAGTCCTCTTCCTTTGTCAGTTGGTTTCTTGACAGGTTCATGACACCGACCCTTTGAAACAGACTACACCAGGTATCTGGCAAGATGTCTTAAAGTTTAAATCTATCCATTATTTCTTCATGATTAGATTCAGGTCATGTGAGGCCCTGCAGCAGGAATGTTGTACATATACACTGAACTATAATAAAATAAGGGTAGGGTTAGTTTGTCTCATGATACACAAGTTGGGTAGCTTTAGTTCAGGTGGAATCGTCCAGATTTCTCTCTTATGATAGTTTTCTGCCTAGATGATTCTCTTATATGTCAAAGTTTGAAGTCTTGCTACTCCGAGTGCAGTCTGCCAACCAACAACAGTGGCTTCCCCAGAGAACTTGTCAGAAAGGCAACTAAAATTCCTGACTTGGGAGAGGGCATTGCAGGCCTCCTCTGCTACCGTCTACTTCACACAACTGGGACAAAGTGAAGGGAGCACCAGTCATGGCTGAGGACACCTGTGTGAGCCCAGCTCTGCCACCTCAGGAGCTCCTGAGCAAACCACTTCACTTCCCAGAGCCCCAGATTTATTTGTAAAAGAAGCATTGCTTAATCTGGAAGCCAGCATGGTCAGCCACTTGCTGTGAGTCTGTTTCCTAGAGAGTGAACTTCCATGCACATGTGGTCACAGTCCCAGCATGGGGCCTCACCATCTGATATCCTGAGGCTGCTGAGGTCAACCCCCTGCTTGGCTCATCCATCCTGGGTGAGTGCTTGAAAATGCCCTGTAGAGAGTCAGGAGGAAAACAGGGAGTTCCGAAAAATAAAGAGAAAAATAAAAGGAGTTTATGTCAAAGGAGAAGGGGCATGGATCGCACAAGCGATGCACGAAGGTGGCAGATTAAACATGACCAAGAAGGGAAGCAAAAGAGAGAAAACATTTACTGCATGCCCACGGTGACATTCGTGGGTAGTTTCACATCCACAGGGACCCTGCATAAAACCCCTATGCTAATTCAATAGCCAGGGCATTTGGTTAGGACAGCTGCCGGGTCACTACATCTCATCACCCAGTCTTGCTAGAGGTCTCTGGAGCCAGCCCACCTCAGAAAGCAGTGAGTGGGAATTTCTTGCACTCATTTCCCCTGGGTTTGTCAACCCACAGGGCCTCAGGGGAGATGGTCAGGGCAGCAGGATGTCTGTACTGTGCCAGGCCAGCAACAAGGCCAAGATGAGACCAGCATCTCCGCACTAACAGGCTAGGAAGGCAGAGTCCCAGACAGCTTGAGGACAGCCACAGAGCCAGGTGAGGTGACTTGTAACGAGACCCCCATTCAGAATCAACTAAGGACCACCTGATGCTGGGCTCACTGCATCCACATGCAATGTTTGCCTTAAGCCTAGGAACCCCTCCTTGACAGGGCAGTGTTATCATTGCCAACTTCTATGTCCCAACTCAGCTCCTGAAAAATCACAGATACCTTGGTAAAGTCTAGATGTGAACTCTGTGCCCAGCCCATTTTCCATTACACCAGTGCCTCTTTCAGCCAAAGGATGAAAAAGCAGAGCTGTAATCAGCCTCACCAGAGTTAATAATTCTGATAGCTCCTATATAATTCCTTTCCCCACAGCCCAACACTCCCAAGGACTGTTCTCCTCATTAACGTCCTGTAATGCTGACCTTAGCTACTTACTACTGTTGTGATAACAGCAGAGCTGTAGTAGCAGTCTTGATTAACCAGGATCCTAAGAGAATTCTCTCATGCATCAAATGCTTACTTAGTACCTACCATGGGCTCCACAGCCTCATGGGGATGGAGAATGCTAAAAACACCATAGCCTTCTGCTCTCACACAGCTCTCGGTTCACTGGGGCAGGCAAGGGAACACACCAATTCCATTGCAAAATTCTACAGCCAGGCAGTTGCAGAGCTGGCAAGTCTAGCCCAGCCTGGAGTGTCAGGGAAAGGCTTCCTGGAGGTGATGACAGTGGAGGTGGGCAGAAGTGAAGGTGTATAGATAGGAGAAAGTAGGGGATGTGCCTTTAAGACAAAGGGAGCAATTGACATTTTGATTGATCTCCACATTTCCTGTATTCTATCTTTAGGAAAGAGAAAAAAATCCTATCTCATGGGCCTGATTCATTTAAGAAAGAAAAAGTATGCACTAGACTGTGAGTCCATGGTCAGCCCAATTTCCTGGCCCCCTCCAGCCATTACCCACAGCTCAGAGCAGGGTAGTGGATGTTTTGAAGTGTGAATTTCAATGCCTTGTGAAATCCTGAATCATCAATGAAAGGCTCAGTTGTGTTCATCTGATTGGACCTCCTCCCGAGCTGGAGAAAGGATACAGGCCCCAGCTACGTACCAAGTGGGCTTCAAAATGAGGATCTCAAACCCAACCCAGTGAGTTTTTCTGTGTAACTCCAAAGTTATCAGCATCCACAATCCCAGCACCCACCCATCCCACATTTTCCTAACATCGTGGTTCTTTAGGTTCTGGCCAGTCCCGGCTTTGATTCAAACCCCCCTTTCCCACCATCCACTAAGAAAGGAGAGCAGATGTGTTGCTACAGGCTCTGTGTTGCCAGTGGGGAAAGGAGCACCCAGCAAAAAGAAAAGCCCCCCAGCTGTTGGCAGAGGGCCAGGATCGGGATCCAGGCTCAGCAACAGAGCTGACTCACTGCACTCCAATGTAAACTGCAGGAAATTAGACACAGGATCTTAGCAAGTGACTATCTCTCAAATTCTTCCTATCTTCGTCTATAAAATGGAAATGATAGTAACCATCTCATAAGATCCTGTGAGGATTAGCCAAAATAAGTTCATGTGCATAGATGACTCTTCCTTCTCATACTCTCAAAGTCTTCTAGGCCCTCTCTGGGAGGCTGCAGGCTCTAGCATTCTCAAACCTGCTTCCAGGTGGTGGGATAATTCCAGAGGAGAATAACATGGGAGGCTCTGTCAACAGCAGGCCTTAGCTGGCCCTTACTCAGAATGGGAGAAGTGTTGCTCTGAATGCTGACTGGGAAAAGGCAGCAGCAGAATACGTCTTCAAGCTTCAGGGGACCTAGGTCTGGAGGCTAGCCAATAAATACAAACCCCGTCTACATGCAGAAGGACCTGGGAATCCACATATGTCTGTGTGCATGCAAACAATTTGTTGTGCTTAGTTCCCTATCACATATTTCAGTGTCAATTTCAACTTAACTAAACACTGTGCTAGAGACAGAGTTGAATGTATTTTTAGTCCTTTTTTATTTTTTACCACTTAACCAGAGCAAAGGAAAGCCTAGTTGCTAAGCCCTCTTTCTAGCCAAACACTTCCATCACCTGCAAATAGGCATGCACGCAGATACCTTGGGCCAAAGCGCTCCAAATCCTCCTTCTCCAGGTTCCTCAGCTCCCTGTAGGCGGCCTCTCCGGGCTCCGGAACCTCTCAAGAAACCTGTTGCTGAGCCTGAGGACCTGTGCGGACGCCCCCACCTGGTGGCCAAATCAGGAAAAGCGCTTCCACCCAAGGAGGTCTGGCAGTTTAGTGTAACAACTCCAAGGTTCCCTGAAACCTTGGCCTTTTCAGTCGCAGTGCACTGGAGAAAGCCCGAGAGGAGACTCTGCCGCTTAGGGCACAAGGCGGGACGGTGTCAGAGTCATGGCCAGCTTCCTGCCAAAATCCTGGTAGTCAAACAGCTTTCTAAAAAGCAGCCATTAGGACGGCGAAGGCAAGGCTGGGAGGCAGCCACGGCTAGCTGTGCCTTGTCAGCCCGGGAGTGTGCCTGGCAGCAGGCAGCCGGGATTTCCAGTCCTCGCTGAGGAACCCGGGCTCCCATTGTCTCTCCCCACTCGAGTACAGGTGGATTTTCCACTCCTGGGGGCAGGTGCAGCGGGAGGTCCATCTTCCTGCTGGCTGCGTATTTACCTCGAGACAGCTTCTGGGGAGCAGAGGCTGGGTGCAAGGGTCCAGACCAGGCCTCCCACATGCTCAGGGCCCTGGGCCAGGCAAAGCAGGAGGAGGCAGCAGACTAGGCCGGGCGGGGCGGGGCGGGGAGTACGGCACCCAAACCACAGACCTGTTTCAACCATTAGTCCCCATTTCTGTTCCTTAAACCTCAGTCCTTCGGTCTAGATTTAGAAATCCTCCACCTTCCTATTCATTTTCCTAAAAGAAACCCAAAGACGTGCATTTTGGCCAATTCAAGGCCCCGTTAGTGTAACACCAGGTTCTTTTCTCTAGCGGTACAGAGCTCTGGAAGGGCAGCGCTCACACACACACCTCACCGTGGGCAGGGTGCACTTCTCCCGTCCCCAACTCCGGGATGCACCCTCTAAACTCAGCGGCGAGCCCCAGAAAAGATATTCACGCCAAGCAGAAAGAGCACTGTGGGGAGGGCCGTTTTGTCCTCTTCAACCCCCATATTAATTAGCAAAATCACATAATTCTTTTAAGCTTCCAAACCACCAACTCCGGAGGAGCTGTCAATGCGCACCGGCGCGCACACAGACGCCAAGCTCAGCTGGGAACCACGCTTGGTTCTTTGAAGCCCCGGTGTCCAACACCCGGAGCGGAGCGCGGTTCATAAACACACAGAACCGGAAAAGACTCCCAGGGCAGGCTGGCCCCCACCGGGCGGAAGGGCAGCTCCCGGGGTTTTAGGGACCCCCAGAATTCCCCAGCTCCAGCCCCTACCCCGACCCCAATACCGCCGCCCAGGGGCGCCCGAGCGAGCGAGCGAGCGGCCCGGTACTCACACCAGCGCGTGGTACAGCAGCGCCCAGCCCCGCGGTCTCTCCAGGGCGTCGTAGATCAAAGTTTGGATGCGCCGGTACTTGGCGTTGTTCCTCTTGACCGGGCGGCTCAGAGGGGTCTTGGCCAGGAGCCCGATGCCCTGCGGGGTCCTCCGCAGCCCCTCGTCGCGGCCGCCACCCTCCAGCAGCAGGGTCCCGTCTTTGTCGGCTCCGGCCCCCAGCGCCAAGGTGACTTGCTCCGCATCCCCGGGCGGCAGCCCCGCTTTCCGCTCCTCGTCCCCGGCCGCCGCCGCGTCCCCTCCGGCTGGGTTAGCAGCCCCGCCGCCTCCGCCCCCGCCGCCAGCAGCCGCCCCCGCCGCCCTGCGCGCCTTGAGCCCCATCTGCCTCGCCCCCGCCGGCCGCTTCGCCTTCTCCGCTGCTGCTCGGGGAAGAGGGGGCACTCGGGCTGCACGGGGCAGACGGCGGCAGCGGCGGCAAGCCCGGGAACTCCAATGCCATGATCCGCGCGCCCCTCCCCGCCCACCGCCCCAAAAGCAGGCAAAGGCGTGGCTCCCGGGGGTCGGGGGAGGCCGGCTGGGGGGCAGAGGTCACCTCCGCGCGGGGCAGCCCTGGGACCCCGAGGAGCGCGGCGGCGCTAGGGCGCGTGGCGGCGGGAGCCTGGCACCGGCGCTCCGGGGCGGCGGCGGCACTCGGGCCGGCGAGCCCGAGACAGCATCGCAGTTTATTTGCCAGCCTGGTGCCAGCCGCCCTCCCGCCAGCCACTCGCGCCGCCGCCGCCGCCTCCCTCCTCCGCGCTCCCACCGGCGCCCCTCCCTGCCGCTCCAGCCCCGGCCCCGGCCCCGGCCCCAATCCGGCCCCGCAGCGGCGGCAGCGGCAGCCGCGAGCGCGGCGGGCAGATCGCACGCACCCGCCACCCCTCCCTCGCCGGGGTGGGGCCCCATTGTCCCGCCCGGTCTCGGCGGGAGGCCCCGGCGGCGCCGCCCCCCACTCCTCGCGCCGGGGGACGGGGATTGCCCGGCCCAGGCCGTGCGCGCTGCGGCCGCGGCGCCCTGCTGCCCGAGCTCCTGTGGGCGTTGGGGCTTCCCTGGGCAGGGCGGAGGAGGTAAGAGAGAGTGGAAACTCCAGGCCGGGAGCGTGGGGTCCTCTCAGCACTCGCCTGCCTGGGGTTACACAGTTATGTTTACTCCCTGTGCGTCGCCCCTGCTTCGTGTCTCTGGAGGTAAAATCCAAGTGGCTGTGTTGGCCAAGGCCAAGCGCACGGGGAACCTGCCTCCTGGATGGTAGGAACGCTCCTGGCTGTGGTTAAAGGGTCTTGGCGAACATCGCCGTCACCTCTCCCAGCCCCTGTCAGCCCCTGTCCACCAAGATGAGCAGAGAGCAAGAGAAATGGGGAGTCTGGTTTCTTGATTAGCCCCTGCATTGTACCATGGGCCAGACATTCCCGCTTGGCTGCTTCAGCTGTCCTTAATCCACGAGAGTGGATGAGCGAGTCTGCTGAAGGGCACAGGTGGAAGACCGCAGTGAAAAAAGCCAACGTGAAGAGAGTATTTTCCAATATTGGGTAAATTCTATGCTGCAACAACATAGGGTCTGTGCTGCAGTAATCAGAGGAGTTATTTTGGATTGGATCCGGGAAGGCCCCATTGAGGAGGTGGCATTTTGGGGTGGTGACAACCAAATGGCAAGCTGCTGACAACTGGGTAAATGTAAATGTCCAGAAGAGCTGCCCTTGACAGCGAGCAAGCGCGGACCTGGGTGAGCACCTGGTCAGGGAGAGGGCCGCAAACGGAAGCTACCCAGGGGCAAAAGTGTGGAGCTCCTGCACTGCCGCCACCCCGTGGTGAGAAGAGCCCCATTCCTGATTGCTGGCCTGCTGGCGGAGGCCAAGGACCCAGCCTGGTGCCCAGGTATCTGAAGGCCTGCCAGCCTGCCCTGGGAGCAGAGCGGAGCAGAGAGGGAGTGCAGGGGAAAGGAGAAAGGAGAAGGGGCTGCGAGGGACAGGGAGGTGGGGTAGGCCTCTGTATACAAGGACTGGCAGAGCTAAGAACTCAGAAGTCCCCGGATCAAGGAGGAACGAGCTTGGGAGCACTCTAAAAGGATGAAGTCCGAACAGTTTGGTACTGGCCCCGAAATGAATTTCACGTTGCATCAGAATAGTATGCCCAGAAGCTGACTGTAGTAGGAGAATGTAACAGAGACTAGAAGAGTCAGGACAGCGCTCAGTGGAGAAGGGTCATGTATGCACCCGTGGGCTGAGCATGGGGTCTGTGAAGACACATAACACAGCACAAACATGTGCGCGCTGCACAGTGGGCCCGCCTCTGTGCTTACCACTAATGATCCAACAGTGGAAGCAAAGCCCAGGAGAAAAAGCCCAGGGGAAGGGAGTGGTCTAGATTGAAAAACTTGCAGATAGGTGCTGAGCAGCCCCAAGCAAACTCCTGCCCACTCTTTAACCCTGACCCACACATGCAAACACGTGTGGGCTGGCGTGAGGAGATTTTGCCCATATCACCAGAGGTGCGCGTGATGACATTTAGTACTTCCCATGGTGAGGCATGGAGTGGGGGAAATGGTAGACTGCTGGGTTTAGAGGTGGAGACTGTAGGAGGTGATTCAGAGTAAAGTTGTTGGGGTGGAGCCCATAAGAAGAGGGAGAGAGGAAATACAGAGGCATGCGCCCTGTCCCTTGCCATGGTGTCCCCGTGCTGCCTCAGGAGATACCATAAGAAGGCCACCCCCTGTCTCTGGATAAACACCATAGGCCAAAATGAACCTCTTTTCTTTGTAAATTACTCAAATGTGGGTATTTCATTCTAGTAATGAAAAATGGACTAATACACATAAGTATACTTTCTGTCCAACTACTTACAATATAATTCCTCCTTTAACTATCTTTTCTAAATGGGCCTTTCTCATTCAGCTCTTTTCCTATTTTTTTAATTCATATTTCTTGGTATCTAAAATTATCATATTTGTGTTTGTTTTATTGGCTTAATGATACCCTGTAAATAAGATCAAGCATCCTATTGGAAAGCCGAGAAGTATTCCTGCCTTATAGTTCTCAATACTCATTCAGGACCTAATTAAGTGTTGAATAAATGAACAAAGTGTGTTATGATCCAGCACAGTGTCAGACACAATTGCATGTTCAATGCATTGAATATGAAATTTTTCTTTTGTTTATCATTGTGAAAGTCTTTGCTCTTACCAAGTCTTCATGCTCCTTGTGATTTAAGTAATATAGCAACAAAAACTATTTTGATGGTACTTAAAAAGTCTTGCTAGATAAACATACAAGATGAATCTTGGACCATTAAACGGAAGACAGGAAAATTTATTACTGCGCTATTAATCAGAAGTTCTCACTTCTTTTTTTTAAATTTTTATTTTAGTGGTACATTTTAGGTATACAATATAATGACACTTGTCACTGGAAATTTGCACATTTACATAATCTCTCCTGGTTCTTATTTTTTCTGCCTTCCCCTGCCCTCCCTTCAACCCCTGCATCCCTCCCTATTTACAAAGACTTTGTTTCCATTTTTTCATTTTCTCATATTAATTCCATTCCCTTCTTTCCT